TATGCTCTTTCGTTTGGAATAGTCAGATTTTCGAAAATCAGCTTAGAAATATCACTTTTTTTCAATTTATAATTGAAATAACCATGAAAATTCGCTATCGAACGATACTCAAATTTTGTCTATATTCTTCATAAAATTTTAAGTATTTAGAAAAGATCTCTAAAGAATATGCCATTATATAGAAAAAAGTATGCTCTTTCGTTTGGAATAGTCAGATTTTCGAAAATCAGCTTAGAAATATCACTTTTTTTCAATTTATAATTGAAATAACCATGAAAATTCGCTATCGAACGATACTCAAATTTTGTCTATATTCTTCATAAAATTTTAACTATTTAGAAAAGATCTCTAAAGAATATGCCATTATATAGAAAAAAGTATGCTCTTTCGTTTGGAATAGTCAGATTTACGAAAATCAGCTTAGAAATATCACTTTTTTTCAATTTATAATTGAAATAACCATGAAAATTCGCTATCGAACGATACTCAAATTTTGTCTATATTCTTCATAAAATTTTAAGTATTTAGAAAAGATCTCTAAAGAATATGCCATTATATAGAAAAAAGTATGCTCTTTCGTTTGGAATAGTCAGATTTTCGAAAATCAGCTTAGAAATATCACTTTTTTCCAAATTAAAATTGAAAAAACCATGAAAATTCGCTATTGAACGATACTCAAATTTTGTCTATATTCTTCATAAAATTTTAACTATTTAGAAAAGATCTCTAAAGAATATGCCATTATATAGAAAAAAGTATGCTCTTTCGTTTGGAATAGTCAGATTTTCGAAAATCAGCTTAGAAATATCACTTTTTTTCAATTTATAATTGAAATAACCATGAAAATTCGCTATCGAACGATACTCATATTTTGTCTATATTCTTCATAAAATTTTAACTATTTAGAAAAGATCTCTAAAAAATATGCCATTATATAGAAAAAAGTATGCTCTTTCGTTTGGAATAGTCAGATTTTCGAAAATCAGCTTAGAAATATCACTTTTTTTCAATTTATAATTGAAATAACCATGAAAATTCGCTATCGAACGATACTCAAATTTTGTCTATATTCTTCATAAAATTTTAAGTATTTAGAAAAGATCTCTAAAGAATATGCCATTATATAGAAAAAAGTATGCTTTTTCGTTTGGAATGGAGAGATATTCGAAAATCGGCTTAGAAATATAACTTTTTTTCAAATTATAATTGAAATAACCATGAAAATTCGCTATCGAACGATACTAAATTTTGTCTATATTCTTCATAAAATGTTAAGTATTTAGAAAAGATCTCTAAAGAATATGCCATTATATAGATAAAAGTATGCTCTTTCGTTTGGAATGGTCAGATTTTCGAAAATCATCTTAGAAATATCAATTTTTCCAAATTAAAATTAAAAAAACCATGAAAATTCGCTATTGAACGATACTCAAATTTTGTCTATATTCTTCATAAAATTTTAACTATTTAGAAAAGATCTCTAAAGAATATGCCATTATATAGAAAAAAGTATGCTCTTTCGTTTGGAATGGAGAGATGTTCGAAAATCGGCTTAGAAATATCACTTTTTTCCAAATTAAAATTGAAAAAAACCATTAAAATTCGCTATTGAACGATACTCAAACTTTTTTCCAAATTAAAATTGAAAAAAACCATTAAAATTCGCTATTGAACGATACTCAAATTTCGCTATTGAACGANCCATTATATAGAAAAAAGTATGCTCTTTCGTTTGGAATTGACCGATGTTCGAAATTCGGCTTAGAAGTATCACTTTTTTTCAATTTAGTATTGAAAAAACCGTGAAAATTCGCTAACGAACGATACTAAAATTTTGTCTATTTTCCTCATAAAATTTTAAATATTTAGAAAAAATCTCTAAAGAATATGCAATTATATAGAAAAAAGTATGCTCTTTCGTTTGGAATGGAGAGATATTCGAAAATCGGCTTAGAAATATAACTTTTTTTCAATTTAAAATTGAAATAACCATGAAAATTCGCTAACGAACGATACTCAAATTTTGTCTATATTCTTCATAAAATTTTAACTATTTAGAAAAGATCTCTAAAGAATATGCCATTATATAGAAAAAAGTATGCTCTTTCGTTTGGAATAGTCAGATTTTCGAAAATCAGCTTAGAAATATCACTTTTTTCCAAATTAAAATTGAAAAAACCATGAAAATTCGCTATTGAACGATACTCAAATTTTGTCTATATTCTTCATAAAATTTTAACTATTTAGAAAAGATCTCTAAAAAATATGCCATTATATAGAAAAAAGTATGTTCTTTCGTTTGGAATATTCAGATTTTCGAAAATCAGCTTAGAAATATCACTTTTTTCCAAATTAAAATTGAAAAAACCATGAAAATTCACTATCGAACGATCCCCAATTTTGTCTATATTCTTCATAAAATTTTAACTATTTAAACAAGATCTCTAAAGAATATGCCATTATATAGAAAAAAGTAGGCTCTTTCGTTTGGAATAGTCAGATTTTTAAAGAATATGCCATTATATAGAAAAAAGTAGGCTCTTTCGTTTGGAATAGTCAGATTTTCGTCGTTTGGAATAGTCAGAGAAATATCACTTTTTTTCAATTTATAATTGAAATAACCATGAAAATTCGCTATCGAACGATACTCAAATTTTGTCTATATTCTTCATAAAATTTTAACTATTTAGAAAAGATCTCTAAAGAATATGCCATTTTATAGAAAAAAGTATGCTCTTTCATTTGGAATAGTCAGATTTTCGAAAATCAGCTTAGAAATATCACTTTTTTCCAAATAAAAATTGAAAAAACCATGAAGATTCGCTATTGAACGATACTCAAATTTTGTCTATATTCTTCATAAAATTTTAACCATTTGAAAAAGATCTCTAAAGAATATGCCATTATATAGAAAAAAGTATGCTCTTTCGTTTGGAATAGTCAGATTTTCGAAAATCAGCTTAGAAATATCACTTTTTTCCAAATTAAAATTGAAAAAACCATGAAAATTCCTATTGAACGATACTCAAATTTTGTCTATATTCTCCATAAAATTTAAACTATTTAGAAAAGATCTCTAAAGAATATGCCATTATATAGAAAAAAGTAGGCTCTTTCGTTTGGAATAGTCATATTTTCGAAAACAAGCTTAAAAATATCACTTTTTTCCAAATTAAAATTGAAAAAACCATGAAAATTCGCTATTGAACGATACTCAAATTTTGTCTATATTCTTGAAAAGATCTCTAAAGAATATGCCATTATATAGAAAAAAGTATGCTCTTTCGTTTGGAATGGAGAGATATTCGAAAATCGGCTTAGAAATATCACTTATTTTCAATTTATAATTGAAATAATTATGAAAAATCGCTATCGAACGATACTCAAATTTTGTCTATATTCTTCATAAAATTTTAACTATTTAGAAAAGATCTCTAAAAAATATGCCATTATATAGAAAAAAGTATGCTCTTTCGTTTGGAATGGAGAGATATTCGAAAATCGGCTTAGAAATATCACTTTTTTTCAATTTATAATTGAAATAACCATGAAAATTCGCTATCGAACGATACTCAAATTTTGTCTATATTCTTCATAAAATTTTAACTATTTGAATATGCCATTATATAGAAAAAAGTATGCTCTTTCGTTTGGAATAGTCAGATTTTCGAAAATCAGCTTAGAAATATCACTTTTTTCCAAATTAAAATTGAAAAAACCATGAAAATTCGCTATTGAACGATACTCAAATTTTGTCTATATTATTCATAAAATTTTAACTATTTAGAAAAGATCACTAAAGAATAAGCCATTATATAGAAAAAAGTATGCTCTTTCGTTTGGAATAGTCAGATTTTCGAAAATCAGCTTAGAAATATCACTTTTTTTCAATTTATAATTGAAATAACCATGAAAATTCGCTATCGAACGATACTCAAATTTTGTCTATAATCTTCATAAAATGTTAAGTATTTAGAAAAGATCTCTAAAAAATATGCCATTATATAGAAAAAAGTATGCTCTTTCGTTTGGAAATTGTCAGATTTTCGAAAATCAGCTTAGAAATATCACTTTTTTCCAAATTAAAATTGAAAAAACCATGAAAATTCGCTATTGAACGATACTCAAATTTTGTCTATATTCTTCATAAAATTTTAACTATTTAGAAAAGATCTCTAAAGAATATGCCATTATATAGAAAAAAGTATGCTCTTTCGTTTGGAATAGTCAGATTTTCGAAAATCTGCTTAGAAATATCACTTTTTTCCAAATTAAAATTGAAAAAACCATGAAAATTCACTATCGAACGATACTCAAATTTTGTCTATATTCTTCATAAAATTTTAAGTATTTAGAAAAGATCTCTAAAGAATATGCCTTTATATAGAAAAAAGTATGCTCTTTCGTTTAGAATAGTCAGATTTTCGAAAATCAGCTTAGAAATATCACTTTTTTCCAAATTAAAATTGAAAAAACCATGAAAATTCGCTATTGAACGATACTCAAATTTTGTCTATATTCTTTATAAAATTTTAAGTATTTAGAAAAGATCTCTAAAGAATATGCCATTATATAGAAAAAAGTATGCTCTTTCGTTTGGAATAGTCAGATTTTCGAAAATCAGCTTAGAAATATCACTTTTTTTCAATTTATAATTGAAATAACCATGAAAATTCGCTATCGAACGATACTCAAATTTTGTCTATATTCTTCATAAAATTTTAACTATTTAGAAAAGATCTCTAAAGAATATGCCATTATATAGAAAAAAGTATGCTCTTTCGTTTGGAATAGTCAGATTTTCGAAAATCAGCTTAGAAATATCACTTTTTTTCAATTTATAATTGAAATAACCATGAAAATTCGCTATCGAACGATACTCAAATTTTGTCTATATTCTTCATAAAATTTTAAGTATTTAGAAAAGATCTCTAAAGAATATGCCATTATATAGAAAAAAGTATGCTCTTTCGTTTGGAATAGTCAGATTTTCGAAAATCAGCTTAGAAATATCACTTTTTTTCAATTTATAATTGAAATAACCATGAAAATTCGCTATCGAACGATACTCATATTTTGTCTATATTCTTCATAAAATTTTAAGAATTTAGAAAAGATCTCTAAAGAATATGCCATTATATAGAAAAAAGTATGCTCTTTCGTTTGGAATAGTCAGATTTTCGAAAATCAGCTTAGAAATATCACTTTTTTTCAATTTATAATTGAAATAACCATGAAAATTCGCTATCGAACGATACTCAAATTTTGTCTATATTCTTCATAAAATTTTAACTATTTAGAAAAGATCTCTAAAGAATATGCCATTATATAGAAAAAAGTATGCTCTTTCGTTTGAAATGGTCAGATTTTCGAAAATCAGCTTAGAAATATCACTTTTTTCCAAATTAAAATTGAAAAAACCATGAAAATTCGCTATTGAACGATACTCAAATTTTGTCTATATTCTTCATAAAATTTTAAGTATTTAGAAAAGATCTCTAAAGAATATGCCATTATATAGAAAAAAGTATGCTCTTTCGTTTGGAATAGTCAGATTTTCGACAATCAGCTTATAAATATCACTTTTTTTCAATTTAAAATTGAAATGACCATGAAAATTCGCTATCGAACTATAAATATCACTTTTTTTCAATTTAAAATTGAAATGACCATGAAAATTCGCTATCGAACGATAAAATTCGCTATCGAACGATACTCAAATTTTGTCTATATTCTTCATAAAATTTTAACTATTTAGAAAAGATCTCTAAAGAATATGCTATTATATAGAAAAAAGTATGGTCTTTCGTTTGGAATGGTCAGATGTTCGAAAATCGGCTTAGAAATATCACTTTTTTTCAATTTATAATTGAAATAACCATGAAAATTCGCTATCGAACGATACTCAAATTTTGTCTATATTCTTCATAAAATTTTAACTATTTAGAAAAGATCACTAAAGAATATGCCATTATATAGAAAAAAGTGTGCTCTTTCGTTTGGAATAGTCAGATTTTCGAAAATCAGCTTAGAAATATCACTTTTTTCCAAATTAAAATTGAAAAAACCATGCAAATTCGCTATTGAACGATACTCAAATTTTGTCTATATTCTTCATAAAATTTTAAGTATTTAGAAAAGATCTCTAAAGAATATGCCATTATATAGAAAAAAGTATGCTCTTTCGTTTGGAATGGTCAGATTTTCGAAAATCAGCTTAGAAATATCACTTTTTTCCAAATTAAAATTGAAAAAACCATGAAAATTCGCTATTGAACGATACTCAAATTTTGTCTATATTCTTCAAAAAATTTTAACTATTTAGAAAAGATCTCTCAAGAATATGCCATTATTTAGAAAAAAGTATGCTCTTTCGTTTGGAATAGTCAGATTTTCGAAAATCAGCTTAGAAATATGAAAAAAGTATGCTCTTTCGTTTGGAATAGTCAGATTTTCGAAAATCAGCTTAGAAATATGACTAAAGTATGCTCTTTCGTTTGGAATAGTCAGATTTTCGAAAATCAGCTTAGAAATATGACTTTAGTATGCTCTTTCGTTTGGAATAGTCAGATTTTCGAAAATCAGCTTAGAAATATGACTTTTTTATGCTCTTTCGTTTGGAATAGTCAGATTTTCGAAAATCAGCTTAGAAATATCACTTTTTTCCAAATTAAAATTGAAAAAACCATGAAAATTCGCTATTGAACGATACTCAAATTTTGTCTATATTCTTTATAAAATTTTAACTATTTAGAAATGATCTCTAAAGAATATGCCATTATATAGAAAAAAGTATGCTCTTTCGTTTGGAATAGTCAGATTTTCGAAAATCAGCTTAGAAATATCACTTTTTTCCAAATTAAAATTGAAAAAACCATGAAAATTCCTATTGAACGATACTCAAATTTTGTCTATATTCTTCATAAAATTTTAAGTATTTAGAAAAGATCTCTAAAGAATATGCCATTATATAGAAAAAAGTATGCTCTTTCGTTTGGAATAGTCAGATTTTCGAAAATCAGCTTAGAAATATCACTTTTTTCCAAATTAAAATTGAAAAAACCATGAAAATTCGCTATTGAACGATACTCAAATTTTGTCTATATTCTTCATAAAATTTTAACTATTTAGAAAAGATCTCTCAAGAATATGCCATTATTTAGAAAAAAGTATGCTCTTTCGTTTGGAATGGAGAGATATTCGAAAATCGGCTTAGAAATATCACTTTTTTTCAATTTATAATTGAAATAACCATGAAAATTCGCTATCGAACGATACTCAAATTTTGTCTATATTCTTCATAAAATTTTAACTATTTAGAAAAGTTCTCTAAAGAATATGCCATTATATAGAAAAAAGTATGCTCTTTCGTTTGGAATAGTCAGATATTCTAAAATCAGCTTAGAAATATCACTTTTTTCTAAATTAAAATTGAAAAAACCATGAAAATTCGCTATTGAACGATACTCAAATTTTGTCTATATTCTTCATAAAATTTTAACTATTTAGAAAAGATCTCTAAAGAATATGCCATTATGTAGAAAAAAGTATGCTCTTTCGTTTGGAATTGAGAGATGTTCGAAAATCGGCTTAGAAATATCACTTTTTTTCAATTTATAATTGAAATAACCATGAAAATTCGCTATCGAACGATACTCAAATTTTGTCTATATTCTTCAAAAAATTTTAACTATTTAGAAAAGATCTCTCAAGAATATGCCATTATTTAGAAAAAAGTATGCTCTTTCGTTTGGAATGGAGAGATATTCGAAAATCGGCTTAGAAATATCACTTTTTTTCAATTTATAATTGAAATAACCATGAAAATTCGCTATCGAACGATACTCAAATTTTGTCTATATTCTTCATAAAATTTTAACTATTTAGAAAAGATCTCTAAAGAATATGCCATTATATAGAAAAAAGTATGCTCTTTCGTTTGGAATGGAGAGATATTCGAAAATCTGCTATTATATAGAAAAAAGTATGCTCTTTCGTTTGGAATGGAGAGATATTTGAAAATCGGCATGGTTTTTTTTGGAATGGAGAGATATTTGAAAATCGGCTTAGAAATATCACTTTTAGAAATATCACTTTTTTTCAGCTTAGAAATATCACTTTTTTTCAATTTATTGTTCAAATAACCGTAAAAATTCGCTATCGAATAACCGTAAAAATTCGCTATCGAACGATACTCAAATTTTGTCTATATTCTTCATAAAATGTTAAGTATTTAGAAAAGATCTCTAAAGAATATGCCATTATATAGAAAAAAAGATGCTCTTTCGTTTGGAATAGTCAGATTTTCGAAAATCAGCTTAGAAATATCACTTTTTTCCAAATTAAAATTGAAAAAACCTTGAAAATTCGCTATCGAACGATACTCAAATTTTGTCTATATTCTTCATAAAATGTTAAGTATTTAGAAAAGATCTCTAAAGAATATGCCATTATATAGAAAAAAGTATGCTCTTTCGTTTGGAATTGAGAGATTTTCGAAAATCAGCTTAGAAATATCACTTTTTTCCAAATTAAAATTGAAAAAACCATGAAAATTCGCTATCGAACGATACTCAAATTTTGTCTATATTCTTCATAAAATTTTAACTATTTAGAAAAGATCTCTAAAGAATATGCCATTATATAGAAAAAAGTATGCTCTTTCGTTTGGAATGGAGAGATATTCGAAAATCGGCTTAGAAATATCACTTTTTTTCAATTTAAAATTGAAAAAACCCTGAAAATTTGCTATCGAACGATACTCAAATTTTGTGTATATTCTTCATAAAATTTTAACTATTTAGAAAAGATCTCTAAAGAATATGCCATTATATAGAAAAAAGTATGCTCTTTCGTTTGGAATTGAGAGATGTTCGAAAATCGGCTTAGAAATATCACTTTTTTTCAAATTAAAATTGAAAAAACCATGAAAATTCGCTATTGAACGATACTCAAATTTTGTCTGCAAATTAAAATTGAAAAAACCATGAAAATTCGCTATTGAACGATACTCAAATTTTGTCTGTAAATTAAAATTGAAAAAACCATGAAAATTCGCTATTGAACGATACTCAAATTTTGTCTGTATTTTAAAATTGAAAAAACCATGAAAATTCGCTATTGAACGATACTCAAATTTTGTCTATATTCTTCATAAAATTTTAACTATTTAGAAAAGATCTCTAAAGAATATGCCATTATATAGAAAAAAGTATGCTCTTTCGTTTGGAATAGTCAGATTTTCGAAAATCAGCTTAGAAATATCACTTTTTTCCAAATTAAAATTGAAAAAACCATGAAAATTCGCTATTGAACGATACTCAAATTTTGTCTATATTCTTTATAAAATTTTAAGTATTTAGAAAAGATCTCTAAAGAATATGCCATTATATAGAAAAAAGTATGCTCTTTCGTTTGGAATAGTCAGATTTTCGAAAATCAGCTTAGAAATATCACTTTCTTTCAATTTATAATTGAAATAACCATGAAAATTCGCTATCGAACGATACTCAAATTTTGTCTATATTCTTCATAAAATTTTAACTATTTAGAAAAGATCTCTAAAGAATATGCCATTATATAGAAAAAAGTATGCTCTTTCGTTTGGAATAGTCAGATTTTCGAAAATCAGCTTAGAAATATCACTTTATTCCAAATTAAAATTGAAAAAACCATGAAAATTC